ATTTAAGTGTCTGTATGTTGATGTAAATATTGTGAATCTGCCAACATGGAATCATAGCATACCAATTTGCAACGTAAAAAAGCAATAATAATAATAATTATAATAAAATAAAAAATAAACAGTGATTACCTAAAAATAAATCAGACGAGGAGTTTTTTGATGTTATCAATTTGATTTGTTAATAGTTGTGTTCTGTTTGGGTATCACAACAGAATAAATATTGAACCGTACTTGTAGGACCTACATGTTCATTTTTTTTTTATCAAGAAAAGCCTGATGTGTTGAAAACAACTTTGTAATTGTTATCAAGTTCATAGGCTTTCACTTAAAAAAATTAACCAACTGTTTCTTTATTTAGCGGAGGAGCAGAGCTGCTTTTCAGCGGTCAGAAGGAACATCATGTGACGCTGCCGAGCCAATCAGAACCCTGTGAGTATCACCTGTGACCCTCATTTTAAACTGATGAGAAACAGAACAAGCCTGTTCAAAGCTGGCCCCAAAATATATTCATCTTTGGTTGATCGTATCTTAATTAGTTCACATGTGTAAACAATAAGTTTTCTTTTATAAATGATCAAATTGTTATGTTTATAAATCTGGCAACGTGCAGAAATGCACATATTTTCTCCAAGTTATTGTTAATGAACATGTTCTCTGCAGAGATCTTCAGTTCTCAGTTCGAAATGTTTCCTCAGACATCTTGCTGCTTGTGATTAGATCAGGTTCCATGTTTGAAATTGCAGACCGCGACATTTGTTTTGGAAATCCTCTTAATTTAAAGTCCAGTGACTAAACTGAAATGGAAGCTAAAGATAGATCAATTGACAGATCTTACTTTTTACGATTAAAAAATGTCTTATTCTTTAACTTTTAAATCAAATACATTTATCTATTATATCCCATTTTTATCATAACTTAAGCTATGTAAATAAAAATTTGGTAACTCTGGTGTGAATATATTGTGTTAAAACCAAGATTCTTGTGTCCTTTCTAGCTGACAAAACTTCTTTTTTAGAAACAAGTCTTCACTCCAACCTCAAAGTAAGATTTTATTTAGCAAATTATATTTCATGGTTCACTTTCACAGCACAATGAAAAGGAAATAATTTTAAAAAAGCCTKTTGTCTGGTTGTTAATGTGAAGCAGTGAGAGAAGAAAGAGACATAAATAAGAGAAATATGCATCTTTGCTGTTTGGGAAAACAAAGCCTGTTCATCCGTGATGCTGACGTTACCACGACAACAAACAGACAAAAGTTGACCAGAGCAGGGAATGTCAGCCCGGTTCTGACCTTGCTGCACCAGCTGACCTGTGTGTGTTTGTGTGTGTGTGTGCGTGAGGTTTTGTCAAACGGCACAAAAAGTTTGACGTTGCAGCATCATCATGGTCATTTTTATTTTGCTCTTTATTTGTTGTAATCTAACGTCTGTTTGGAAATCTAGAAGATATTTTGTTTTAAACACAAAGTGTGTGTGTGTGTGTGTGTGTGTGTGTGTGTGTGTGTGTGTGTGTGTGTGTGTGTGTGTGTGTGTGTGT